CAAAATCCACATTTGGCCCTTGGGCTGCAGATTGGACAGTGCCTGTGGGGCACTGTCCTTTAGAGATCTGTACTATTTTTCCATGGAAAAATTAGCAAAAATGAATTTTTCAAAAAGATGTATTGGCTATTCAAAAATCATCATATTTTGTTCTTAGAATACCATTTCCCAAACTAAGATTTTTAGATGACATTCTAGGAGGGGTTAATGCCAAATTTTGTGTATGCATTTACTAGAAAGAGGGTCTATAGCTTTGTAAGATTATCAGAGGAATATCTTCCCCTCAGACAGTTAAGGATTATGAAGAGGATAATTTGCATAACTAATCCAAACTGTTATGCTTTGTTTTTGCTTATTTTTCATGATCATTTGGTTTTACATATAGTAAAATGATACTTAGTAGTTGCTACAGAATGAAAATTTCCTTTCACAGCTTTCAGTATACCTCTCTAGAACTGCCTTTCTAAACTGTCTTGCACTGTTGCTTCAGATTTAAACATTACATGCAATCAGATTTACATTATGAAGGAAGAAAAGTTCTGAAGGAGAATCTTTGAAGAAGTAAATCTGTGTTTGATATAGGTGTTCCTCTTCTTGCAGGAGTTTTAGAGTTTAAATTAATTTAACATTTTCCTTACTGTAAAAGACCGCTTCAAAAAATTAAATACACACAGAGTGTCTTGAGGGGCTCTTAGCCTCACTTTTGTTATTACCCCTGTAGGACACAGATGAGTTTATTTTACCAACTGGAGCTAATAAAACCCGGGGCAGATTTGAACTGGCCTTCTTTACCATTGGAGGATGTTGCATGACAGGGGCTGCATTTGGGGCAGTGAATGGTCTTCGGCTAGGATTGAAGGAAACTCAGAACATGGCCTGGTCCAAACCAAGAAATGTACAGATTTTGAATATGGTGACGAGGCAAGGGGCACTTTGGGCTAATACTCTAGGTTCTCTGGCTTGCTCTATAGTGCATTTGGTGTTATCATCGAGAAAACACGAGGTGCAGAAGATGACCTCAACACGGTAGCAGCTGGAACCATGACAGACATGTTGTATAAATGTACAGGTGGTCTCCGAGGGGTAGCACGAGGTGGTCTGGCACTATATAATAACTGGAAGCACATGAAAGGCTCCTTCCTCCAACAGTCACTCTGAAGATTTTGCCAGCTCATAGAGGACACTTCAGTAGTCATCCAGATCAATTTATAAGTC